GGCTCGAGCGCGGCCGGCGGGAAATGGCGCCCGCCCGGCCCCCTCCCGAGACGGGCTCCCCGCCGCAGCTGGCCCCGGCCGCTTTGGGACTCGCGGCTGCTTTCCCCGCTATGGCTCCCCTGAGAGGGCTCCGCCCTGTCCCTCCCGGGAAAAGCCCAGCTACCAGCGGGTAGCAGCCGCCCGTCCGTGCCCGCGGTGATGGGTGGCACCGCCGCCCCTCGCTGTGCGCGGCTCTGAGGGACGGGTCCCGCCGCCTCCCGCACTCGGTGCGGAGCCGTCACTCCTCCGGGAGGCTCAGCCCTGACGGAGGCTGGGGGCCGCCCGGGGAGCGGGCCGAGCGCCCGGCCGCTGGCATCCCGTGCGCCCGCCCTGTCCGAGGGCCGGCGGGGGCAGCGCTGCGGGGACCGGCCCCGGCCGCGGGGGACGGCGGGCCGAGCGCCCCCGGGGAGGGCCGGGCGGCGGCGCGCCTGGATGCCCGCCCGCCGCCGAGTGGGAACGGGCGGGGAAAGTTTCTCCTGTGCGCGCCCCGTCCGTCCATCCGTCCCTCCCTCCGCGCCCGCACACTCTCGCAGACACACACGCGCTCACACCCCTCTCCCGCCGCCAGCGGCCGGGGGGCACTTTTGAAAGCCCTTCTGGTTCCACACCCAGCCGCCGCTGACATCATTCCCGCAGGAGGGCGGGCGGAGGCACCGCCGCCGCCGCCAGACGGTCGCAGCCCCGGAGAGCTGCCCGCCGGCCCGCGCCCGTGAGTAGCCTCGGCCGGGCGGGGGGCGCGGGGGGAGCGGGGCGGCGGCGGGGGGCGCGGGCAGCTGCGGCGGCCAGGGGAGGAGAAACCCGTCAGAAACGGGGAAAAACTTAAAAGCACGCGTTTGTTTACTACGAAGCATATTTCGTTTGGGCGGCTGCGGTGCTGCGCCGTCGCTGGGCCGGCCGGAGAGAGCGGTGCCGGTCCCGTGGAGCCCCGGCCTCGCTCCTTCGCCCCGGGAGCGGGACGGGGCGGGCCGGGCCGAGGGGCGCCTCGCCAGTGAGGCCGGGCCGGGCCAAGCCCGCAGAAAGTTCGCGTTCTTCACGGGATAGTTTCTTTCTGTTCTTTTCTGTAATGAACTCTCAGCGGAGTTCGCGTGTGTTGCAGTAACGTTGTAGCAGCTCTTGGCAGCTCTCCCCCCGACAGTGGAAAGAAAATACACTTAGATGTAATTCAGTGCAGATTTCGGTTTATGAAGTTTTGGCCAGCATTAGTTTTTCTGCTCGAGTCAAGCTACAGTTTCACTCCCGGGTGGTTTTTATCTATAGGTAATGCCGCACTTACATCGGGGATGTTGTGTGCCACATGCTGGACAGGCGGCTCTCGGTGTCGTGGGTTGTTTGCAATATTGAGTATTGAATATGAGAGGTCAGCTCCTTGTTTGGACATTTCTGTGAAGAACAGTACACTGCTATCTGTTCCTTAGCAGGCTTATCCACGACTTGTTTTTACCTACAGCATGCTGCCATCAAGAAACCTGAAGTTCTGCCTCTCTTTTAATTTATTGATGGGAATACTTTGTTCACATAGTGCAGGAAGGTCTTTTTTTTTCCTCCTCACAGCAGTTGGGAATAGTATGTAAATGACCAGTAATTATTGCTGTAGAGCATTTTAGTAGTAACCTCTGACTTGATACAGGGCTGTGAAGAAACCGACTAAATAGATGTGAAATACACACAGGATTTTTTGGCATTTTCTTTAGGAACTTTGGAAGTAAACAGCTATGGTTGGCTCATCATCAGAAAAACAAAATGTAGCTCTTTCTCTTCATTTACTTGCAGACTCTGTATATACAGTGCTGGTGTGTTAGCTATATAAAATAAGCCTTCTTGCCTGCCTGAGCAGATGTTTTTTCTATCAAATAAAAATAGTTTATAGTGACTCCTTCATCCAGACCTCCTCTCGGACGTTGAAGGCTTTGCTGTCCAGGTAGTTCAGGAAAGAGCTGCGAGGCTGGGCTGCTGGGACTGAGGTGCCAGGTGGCTGCAGGTGTGGGCAGGCAGGAATCCACACAAATGGTGGGGGACTATTGGGCATGAGTTTCACTGGGGGGAGAAATGGGAAATGCAGTTTGCTGCAGAGCCCAGCAACATTTTTGTAATAGAGTGTGTGACAAATGCCATTCTAAGGAATGCAGCTGGGGTACAGGTACTTGCCACAGCTGGTGAAATCAAAGTAGGAGTGGAAACAAAGGCATGTGGTAAACTTGGCCACCAGAAGCTGATATGACTTCATTCAGCATAAGTTTTAAGGACTTCACCTTTGCTTCAAAGACATTGAAAGAAGGAACTCTTGCTGTTCTCTGAACCTCTGTGAACTTGCAGAGTTGAGTTAGGAAATAGACTGTTGGGATACCTGAGGGAAGATTCATCCTCCATGCTGAATAAAGATGTGTACAGATTGTATCACGCCAGCTGCGTGGCTGACAGGGATGTTACCCGGTAGCTGTCTGCCCAGCTAGGAATCCAGGAATTGCTCTGCCAATAGCTATCAACATTAACTGGAGCTGAAATTTAGCAGTACCATGAAGACTCTTCATGGTGATCAGCTTCTTGTTAGTATGCTCATTTGGGAAGAAAAATGGTGTGTTAATGTAATTTCAAATAAAAACAACATCCAATCAGTAGACAAGACACTACTGGTGTTGTATTCTGTGTTTGTGGTCTGGAAAGACTTCTATCGTAAACATACAAACAGTGTTGATTATGCTGTGGATTTGCCAGTGAGGAAAACAGTTTTATTTGGTTACACAGATTTAAAACCTTGTTAATAAAGGAAGTTGTTCAACAGACTGAGCAGGTCAAGACTGAAGGCTGCTGCAACATTATTATTGTAGACAAAGATTCTGTCTCAGTTCATAGATGCTGGAGTTATTGTTGCTGGCCAACATTGTTTAGAAGAAATGAACATCTCTATCTTACACCCACTTTCAGTTAATGCACTTGACCCCTCTTCATTTATTAGCATCTCCTGCCTCATGTCTTTCTTTTACTTCTATTATTATGGCTTTTATTTTGCTGTCTTGTTTGTCTCAAGGTTGTTTCCCATCTCAGGTTTGACATTCCTTCAGTGATTAGAAGAATGTTGTACTGATGAGTCCCATATGGGTATTTAGAGAAGCAAGACCTTCTTCTACTTTTGCTAAGTATATTAGGTGTAGGCTGTCTCCTTTCATAATGCTGTTTCCCTGTCATTTAAAAATGAGATCAGTGGCAGCACAAGGAGACTCTTCCCTTTTCACTTGAATATATTTTGATTTTCCACTGGCACTTCACATTCGATTTGCGTCTTGAACATCATGTAAGTCATGACATCCCCACATAAATCAGGACAAGAATGTATTTAATTAAAGAGATAAGTAGGTCTCTGGGGACAAGGTCTTTTATACTGCTAGCTGGCAGATGTACTTTCCAGATCCTCCTCCATGTTCCTGTTGGAAGAAGACCCAGCAGAATGAGGCACTGTGTTATACAGGAACTAATAAGAAAGAGATTTACTCTGAAGTGAAACAAACACTGTATGTAAAATCCATGCGATACTTCAGCACAGCCAAATTTGAAAGTAGAAAGGAATGCACAGCTTTTATTGAAATCACATTGGTCTCAGAGGGAATGCAGGGGGAACATCAGCACAGCACTCAGGAATTCCATTCATGGAGCTCTTCAGTGTTTGTTAGGGTTTGCTTGTTTTTTGGATGCTCAAAGCAAACCATGATCTTTGCAGTGGAGTTTCAGTTTTTGCTGTTTTTTTGTTAAAAACTTTACTTTTTTAGAAAGTAGATAATTTCATAAAATATATATCAAAATGTCAGGTGATGCTTATGACTTCATTAGGAAGATAAGCATCATAATTATTAGAAAATACATCTTGCTGGGTGAGACTCAAGAGAAAGCCTGATGGTCTGAATTCATCCATCAAAGGAATTATTATTTCTCCACTGAATGGGGAAAATGTAATTACACCTTTTTATTTTGCTGGTGAAGTTTCATGGGCAGGTTTAATGACGGTATGTGCATGCCAGGTGAAGCCTCATAATTTGGGTGTGACCTTAAAATACAACCCTCTGGCTGTGTAGAGATCTTCACAGGAGTCTGTAGGTGGGGCAGAAAGTGGACTGACTCAAATACCCCTTAGAGATGGCTATAGGATATATATTTATGGTTTGCTTCACTGATTGTTAAACACCGTGCTATGTTTGGAATTGCATGGGCCACAAACAGCCGAGGTGGGCAGTAGGAACACTCCCTCAGCTGTCTGATGCAGGTGTTTAGTGTCCTGAAATAGATCAAAATTCTGGCCTTTTTCCAGACAGAAGGAGACCTTCCAAAGGCTGTGGATGTCTCTGCTGAGGTGCCTGTGCTGCCAGGTGGGCTCTGCACACTCACCTGTTCTCCAGGGCTGGCACTGCTCAGCCCACTGAAGAGCAAACCCGCTCTTTAGTTCAAAAGCAGAAACAAACCCAAGTCCGGAGCCTGCAGAACAGTCTGTGTACAGCTGAAGGGCTCTGGCTGAGCCTGCCCGTCCGTCAGGGTGCTTGGTGTGCCTTACCTGGCACTGTGCTGTGCAGTGACCCAGGCACTGTCCAGCCTGGCCAAGGTGCAGCTGCAGGGTAGGGCAGAGTGACCCAGGGCTGAGGGGACTGGGCTGTTCCCACAGAGCAGCCAGTGTAGAGGAGCTGTGCACTGAGTGTGCTCAAACAAGGCATAGAAATCCTTCTACTTGGATTTGTAGAGTCCACATGGCAACTTTAATTGCACTGATTACAAATTATGGTGTAAAAATTGCATTCTGGAGGTAGGCAGAGTATTCAGTGTAATCCTGTGCTACAGTGTTGCTGTCAAACAAAGTAGTAGTTGTGGAGATTTTAAGCTTTTTGTTTTATAACCAACTGTTGTACCACCAATAGAAATGTGTTTTCACACTCTTGATAGATGATGTGTAAACTCTGAAATAACTAAAACCAAAATTTCTCAACAGAGAGCAAGTCAAAGCCAAATCAAAACAAGCAGTTTGAAAATTTTACAACAGTGAATGCAACACATTTAATTGCTAGCAATTTCCACAGAGCATCTGCCAAAGTTAAAACAATATCAGCTTTTATTTCTACGGAATTAAATGCATTGTTTTGAATCTGGAAAGACAGACCTTTTCTGCCTTTGTTTGTTGGTTAATTAGGTGGAACATCATAAATCACTCGAGCTGTTCTGTTGTATCTGGAATAATCTCTGGATAAGCAGCAGTCTGTAGTCAGTAGAGCCCAGGGTCTGAGGTTTGCTCAGAACTGTTAATTTGTAGTCAATGCTGCAGGTGTGCTTTTTTTTTTTTTACTCTTTGCATTGACTGAGGACACATTTTATCTGTCAACCTGATATAAAGGTCTGGTATTTTACTTGGTCTGTCACTTCCTGCCCTGCCAAGGTATTGAACAGAGACACCCTAGACACCGAAATGTGTCCACACAGTGACTGAGCAGGGGTGAGGCCAGGCCACACCTCAGTTCAGCTGTTTGTTTCAGGAGCAGGTTCCCAGGAGGGTTCCAGTAGCTTACTGGAACAGCCCCGTGTCATTGTCCCAGCTCCATGGAGCCGCTGCTGCCCCGAGCCACAGGCAGGGCTGTGCTAGCAGGCTGCAAAGGACTCTGTGCTTCCTGACCCCTGCTCTGGGGGGCTGCCAGGCAGTGGTGGCCCTTAGGTCACCCTCAGACAAGGGGCACAGGCCGT